TTGAATGCCGCAATTATTCGATCTTTCTGGAGTAGGTTCTTGTCGATTTACTTGACGATGTTCCACCAAATGTGAGGTGCGACATGTGATTCCAACATGATGGAGCCCCTGCATATTTTGGACTAGATGTTCGTAGCCATTTGAACAGATCATTCCCACATCGATGGTTTGGGCATGGTGGACCGGTTCCCTGCCCCCCCCCAAGCTCACCGGATTTATCAAGCCTTGATTCCTTTTTGTGCGGAGCCATCAAAAGTGTCGTGTATCACGATCCTGTTGTGTCTAAAATGGATCTCGTGGCAAGACTCGCCTGCGCAGGCCAACGCAATCACAGAAACTCCCGGTGTGTTTGAACATGTTCGGTAATCAATGGTCCGTCGGTGTCAGGCATGTTTGGCGTCTGATGGTGCAAACTTAGAGCATCTGTTGTAACTGTAGAAACACCATTTGTATTCGTGTCCAATTAATGTGTAAAATTAATCACGCTCTTGTTTCCTTTCCCATCTTCTACCTCTGCTACCACTTACTTCTGACATTTCCGGGTATAGGTTCTTATGCAATTATTAATCCTTATGATGTGCCCTACCTCCCATAGGAGTTTGTCGCAACATTTACGGTACACCCTGTATGTATATATACACACATTGTAAATTCGTGTAATATTTATATATTTCATGTTATGCTCTAGGGTGAAACTATATATGTGTAAGATGGCATTTTCGATAATAATCGGATGACGCGACAAGCTGTGAAAATAGATCTTTGCCTTCCGATGGAAGAACAAACACGATTTCGCCATTTGAAGCGATTAAAAGAGGTTTGCATTTAAAAGACGGTTACTTCTCTTCATCTGTAAATAATCTCATCTGTTTCCTTCTATGCATGTAATCACTTTGTGGTTTGTAGCAACTATTCATGTTTCCATTAAATATTCAAGTTATTTGTAAATCAGACTAGTTTATTAGCCCCTAGACAACCACCTCGGATGTAAGTTTACAGACATCATATTCCTATACAGCAAGTACCGATCCTACAGATTTTGGTGGCTTAGGCCGCGATGATCCTAGGAAGAATTGCAATGAATATTGCAAGAGAAAGCGAGTAAGTTTGTTTCGATTATTTTCATATTGTTACTTCTAAGAATATTGTTCTACTGTATTGTGCATCAAGAAGGTTACTTTAAATTCCTTAAGAACTGGACCTACAAAATCTATTAAACTTTTACATCAAATTGTATTTGGAACAGTGGGTGATAGAAAAAATAGCGCGAGATTGCGTAACTTGGTTTTCAACCTGATTTTAATGTTGACTAATCGAAACAAAAGTTACTTCAAACTTTCACGGCAAACGGTTTTATTACTGTGTTTTGTTCTTAACTATGAATCAAATTCTCATAAAAACTGTGATTTAATATTGAAGAGATTTTGTGATTTTAAACTTTTAAAATTCCGAAGTTATCGGAAAACGAATGTGTTTACGATTCTGATAAGGATGATGACGTTAATTCTGTTCGGTCAGAATCGCCTCCCATAAATAATTCAGTAAATCAAAACATTATAACGCCTAGTAATATTTCATTACATTTTAGAAACTTTTTCGGAATTTAATGGTACTGATAAATATTAAGTTGAATCATTCATTTGCAATTTATAAGAACCCTTTCAATTATTTGAATTACAAAAAATTGCGTTTGCTGAAAAATTGCTTACTGGTTCTGCTGGTTCTGTATTTATTCTGTCTTTGAAAGGTATTATATCATGGGACAAATTGAAAGAAAATCTTTTACCTGAATTTGGTTCTAAAATAAACAGTGCATAACTTCATAATTTATTGCAGAAACGATGTTTTAAAAACCGGTGAATTCCTTTCTGAGTATTTAATTGCAATACGAGAAATAGCCATTCGTGGTTCTGCTGATGATTTATCCATTCTTGATTATGTAATTAATGGAATACCTGATCCAAGTACCAACAAAATTATTTTGTATAAGTGTAAAACTATTTCTGAATTTAAAGAAAATTAAAAATATATGAGAAAAATTCCCGTTCCAGATAAAAAGAATAAGGATTAATCAAGTACTAACACACAAAATAAAGCAAGCGCTGTACATAGTAAGAGTGAAGAATCAAGGTGTTATAATTTGCAAGTATAGGTCATAAATCGTACTCATGTAGAAATAATTGTAAAGAATTTAAGTGTTTTAAATGTAGCTTATTTGGAAACAATGTCGTGGATTGTTCCGAAACATCTTCTAAAAATATCCAAGATGCTAAAACTGTAACTCCTATGACTCAGACTTATCAGAAAGGAATGCATAAAACTGCTAATTTAGGTAATTTGCGAATTGAGGCTTTAATAGATACTGGTAGTCAAGTGATGTTAATTAGAGAAGATGTACGTAAGAAGACAGGTTCTCCTGAACCTCAGCCGGGGAATCTACAGTTAACAGGATTTGGCAATGAGAAAATTAAGCCTATAGGGAAATTTGAAGGTGAATTCGAAATTTATGGTTCCTTATTTAGATCAAATATTTAAGTTATCAAAGAAAACAAGAAATCTGAGAGTGATTTTGAAGAGTAGAAAAATTATCATTGCAATCAAAGTGGTTCTGAAAAAGGATCCGAAAAAGCTGTGAATTCTTGTTTTCCACTTCCAAAACCAGAAACTGATCTTGCTAGTATAGTTCCTGTTACAGTACAGAATGGGATAAAACTGGACACTTCATCTATAATTAAAGCATTAAAGCATTTAATTGTGAATTATGACGATGTCCCAAGTGATGCAGATTCTTCTGTAAATTAAAATGATGCTGTCAGCGATGAATTAGGGCGAAAAGGAAACTCAAACACAATCATCGTCGAGGTCATCTAGGTGAAAGTCATCGAGGGAAAACGGCACTGCAGAATTAGATTCTGAAAAGAAGCATTTTCCCAAAGAAGAGTCACATGTCAGAGTTTATGATGAATTAATTGCTAATTTTACTAAAAAAAACTACAGTAACGTACCTTGCAACAGAAAAACAAAAGAAACCACTGGAAACGAAGAAACTACAGAGACCTCCGAAGAAGAGCAAAAGACTGAAAAACAGAAGTCAGTTAGAAAACTTAATCACAAAGACGCCGATACGGACAGCAAAGACGGAACAAACGAAACTAAAGAAGGTGAGAAAAAAGAAGCGGAAAAGCAGATTCAGAAGATCCAGGAAGAAAATCGAAAGTCCTTGATAATAAAATTACCGACTCTGATGATTCGTGATTTAGACTTTTTCCCGACTTGACAAATTTCTCCCGATTTGACTAGTGGACTGTTGTGTTAAAAACGTTAACTATTTAAGAAAAATGAAGATGATGCCTATGGATGAAATGTATCAAGAAAGACAGCTTAAAAAAGACTATTTTAAGAAGATGGATTCGAATGATGGATCTTGAGGGCATCTAAGACGTATTCAGAAGACGTATCCAGACGATATCTAAGAAGATGCATTCAGAAGACGTATCCAGACCGTATTCACAGCTTTTTCGGATCCTTTTTCAGAACCACTTTGATTGCAATGATAATTTTTCTACTCTTCAAAATCACTCTCAGATTTCTTGTTTTCTTTGATAACTTAAATATTTGATCTAAATAATGAACCATAAATTTCGAATTCACCTTCAAATTTCCCTATAGGCTTAATTTTCTCATTGCCAAATCCTGTTAACTGTAGATTCGCCGGCTGAGGTTCAGGAGAACCTGTCTTCTTACGTACATCTTCTCTAATTAACATCACTTGACTACCAGTATCTATTAAAGCCTCAATTCGCAAGGTTTGAGAAGGCGTATGTACAGAGACAAATCCAGACAACATAGAAGAAGAGATTCCACGACGATGACGTTCTAAGATGACCATGACGACGACGACAGAGGCAAAACACAGCAAAAAACCCAATCCCCCCTTTTTTTTTTAAATTTTATTTTTCAGATCCGCAGTGATTGACGGTATTACCACCCGAATGCGAGGCCGCATTCCATAAGGATGGACGAGCAGATGTAGGATGGTATTTTCGGTAATAATCGGATGACGCGACAAGCTGTGAAAATAAATCTTTTCCTTCCGATGGAAAAACACAGACGATTCTGCAATTGTAAGACGATGACGCGATTAAAAGATGTTTGCATGTAAAAGGCGGTTACTTCTCTTCATCTCTAAATAATCTCATCTGTTTCCTTCTATGCATGTTATAATTTTGTGGCTTGTAGCAACTATTCATGTTTCCATTAAATATTCAAGTTATTTGTAAATCAGACTAGTTTATTAGCCCTTAGACAGCCACCTCAGACGTAAGTATACACACATCATATTCCTAGACAGTAAGTACCGATTCTACACATGTTATATTTTATAATTGTATGAACAAAACAAAGATCCACTCCTGTGCCACGTGTACAATTGTAACCAATGTTAAAAAACATCAGTTGTTCAAAACTTATGCTCAAAATAGATAAACACCTGAAGCAGCACTCTTAGCGCCTCTAGCTGGTGTTGCTGTGGATAGGACAGATTTTGTGACTTTCACCTGTTTATATATGTTAGACATCAGGTGTCCCCGCTTACCGTCACCACTCACCAGTTTCGGGTTAGCGGTTAAGAGTTTTCTAACAACGATAATGTTCAGCGCGATGGTTTATTATTAATTGACACAGCTGATAGCATGTGGAGTTTCTCCTCTTTTAATAAAACGTGAAATAATCCAGTGAAAAAAAGTTTAATTAAAGAAAGATATTAATTTGAAAGTGGTTGTGAATGAAGGTAATTTTTAGTACTGAACTATGAATTGCTGGAAAATTTTAAGAGAAAAATTTTATTCTTAAAAGAAATTTTAAGAAATCTGTAAATCATGACTGCCAGGCCCACAGGTTTCGTTTTCCATCAATATGTACCCTTCCAATGTGGCGTGCTTCTTCATTTTTGTTTCTTGACATATTTGTCTCGAGATCAGTAAATGTCTTCCTACTGTCACTGATAAGAAAAGAATAAGTCTTTATTCTTTGATTATCATAGTACAAACATTTATCGGTATTTCCATGTACGTAAAATTTCAAGTATTACACAAGCCTTGTTTGCGAACTGCAAGTTGCAACTTTCAGTTTGCTTACAGTTTGCTTGCAAACTACTTGTTTTATACATTTAACGAATATGAAAAGAATGACATTCAAAAATATTGGAAGTACTGCAACTAAAACGAAAACGAGTATCCTTCTTGTTAAGCTGTTTCTTGTTACAGTGATTTGAACATCAAAAATACTAGAATCTGGAAAAAAAAGTATAAATTACATGATTAGAAAAGATAAGACGAAAGCCGATATAAATATTTGTAAACTCTTAAAAACCAATAACAATTAAGTGCTCATATTTTTAATACGAGTTTTAAATCTTTCATAGTTAGGCAATAATTTCAAATCCTTGAGAATAGGCACACGTATACCTTGTTATTATTTTGTTAAATTACTCATCCTTTCTCACAGATCATGAACGGAACTTCTCTGGCGGCACATATTTGTAAATATCAACTTTCTAGAAACTAAGATGCGGCGTTTGTTTTTCCAGCAATGCTATAGTTCTTAAATTGCTCCTTTGCTCACCGTAGTCTAGATTCTTTACTGCTCACTTTTGGGGATAAAACATAATTATTACCAGAGCGCACCAAAAAACTCAAGAGAATCTCTGGAACAGAAAATTCTTTTGTTTTCATAACATTTTATAAGTAGACTAAGATACTAATTTCTGAACGCATGGCGTATCGTTATCTCAGAAATAAATCCATGGCTTGTAATAGAACATTTTTGTCAAGAAAAGCCTCTAGAGGCAAGAATATATATGAAAATTGTAAATTTCGAGCTCCCGAAAATACTTGTGGCCACGCCGGTGCATCCGCTGATTTGGTTTTTATCTTTTATGCTTTTAATGTGAGCCAAATAGCAACAAGACTCACATAGTGAAATACTAAGATAAACAGCTCAGACTTGTGCAACACTAATTACATCCACCCCCCCCCAAAAAAAAAAGAATCAACTGCGAGCTTTTCAGACAAATGTTACCAAATATTAGGGAACGGACTAAAAACTTGCTTGGAATAAGGACTGCTTGGAACAGTTGTTTATTTGATTATCAGAAAATATATAAAAGCTGCCTGCCAGAGAAGTATAATGCCTTTGTGAAAGATTCTCGAAAGAAACTGGTTCAAGCATTTACACATGAGAAAAAAGACGAAAACACTAATGCAACTGACTCATTGACCGGCATTTGAGATTGCGTATACGGCAGGATAATCCACTCCCCCACCTATATCGAATTCTCAATGGAAAGCCTCTGCTGCTACATCTAATAATATCTTTTCATTTGCGAAAGAATCGGTACATATCCTTTGGCACTCCTACCCAGAATAACAGCACTGTCTTTTTGAGTGGTTTTTGTAATTCCGTAATTTAAGATGCCAAATTTTAATACAGTTTGACCAAGGAAATTTCCTTACAATAACGGCAGAATAGTCACCTTTGACTTCACACTTAATATAAAATTTTGATATTTCGAATTCAGAATTTTTAATTCTAGCCGTATGCAAATTATTCTCACATTAAGGCAAAAGATTAGAGGCAATTGACTTAAAGATAGATAATAGCAACAACATCAAATTTTCTAAACAATGCATGCAAGTTATCAAATTTTGAAAACCGTGATATAAATTAGGTTAAATACTTAAACACGTTTCTCTATTAAGAGTAAGTTGAGACTTTATATTAAAAGCATGTATGCAAGGCATTCTTCCTAAGCGTTTGAACTCATACAACTATAATCTGTTATTAAGCTTAGTCCGCAGGTGCTTCAGAATTCCGTTCGGAAGAATGGAAGTTAATGATAACAGCTAGAGGCCTTAAAAACAGTAAAGATATAAACTGAATCGGAGCATCTGAAATTACGGGGATGTGATATATGTCTTGAAGTTCGCAAAATTAAGCAGATACATGTTGTTTCGGCCTTCGTCACATCTGTTAACTTGAACGACATTATTAATTCCACGCCTAAAGAATTCTCATGAAATTGCTGTGATTTCCAAGAATTCGTTAACTGCCTAACAGACACTGCTGTGATTTTGATAACTACGACAGGAAAATTCTTTAACAGTCGAAATAATTGGTAATCTCTTAGGGACTGGTCCGTCGAATATAGTTTGGAATGTAAGGAAAGATTTTGTAACCGAACTCTTATAATGTTAGAGGGTTTTCTTTGTGACAAGAGCTTGGCTGAGCGCTTTTACACAATACAAGGATATCATGTCTCTTCACAATTGTTTACTGCTTCAAGCGAAGTTACCCGTCCATACCGAGAGGAACGACGGTGGTCCGAATTCGTGGTTTGATGTCGCACGAAGAAAATGCAATGTACGATGATGATGAGTCATCAGTGCACACAGAAACAAAATCACGTTTAGAGAATCTGTACCACTTGCACAAAATTCCGAATGCCACGTTCAATACTTATATATTTCAAAAGTTGCGCTAATATTAGTTGCCACCGAATGTACGAAATGACCCAATGTGAACTCAGAAATCATTCTCAGTTCGCTGTAAGGTCGGTATATTTTAGCAGTCACATATCTATCGAACATATGATGGAATTCATGTGACGCGCCGATTATTTTCTATAGCTATTTAGCAGTCAATCCCAACATTATTTGAAACTGAAAATTTCAAATGCACTTTCCCAATATATAACATTATTAGCCCAAACGGGCGTTATCCCAGAAGGAGTATTAGGCTTAAAATGTAACTTTACGTCGAATCACTTTAAATGCCCAAACTACTTTTTAAGTGCTGCCACCAAAAATTATTGTCATGCATTATATTTAAAGAAACTAACAAAGAATAATGGGGAATCTGCACGAATGCGCGTATATTTCTTGCAATGTAAATAAACAGTGATAACTAGAGTCTTCGAATTTGCTTTGTTGTCTATTCAATATTTTGTAAAACTTTATTGAATATTTTGATTAAGAAACTCAGCACTTGCAAAGAAAGTAATGGCAACACTGCAGGGAATAAAACGTTTTTTTCTGCAGCGCGCGAAACTGCCTATTGGAAATTTTAAATATATGATGTTTTTCTATATTCCGTGATTTTGCTGTTGAGATGAATTTTATGTGGCGTTAGCGCCAAGGACGTGACATTTAATATATATACTAAACACATAAAACGATAATAATAAAAAGAGGAAAAAGTTTTGAAAAGCCCTCCTAAGAAAACTGAATACTGATAGGATGAACTAAGAAAAGCTTGGGAAAAAAAAGAGAGAGACAGACAGACAAATATATGCAAACACTTAACGCTTCATCGTAAATTCTAAACACTGCTCTACATTTTTGTAATTTTGCTGTTGAATTGCATACGGGGTAAGTACGAAGATAGTGGTGCTTGATCATAAACTAAAAATGACATAACGTTTAAAAATGATAAAAAAATTAACATAATGGTTTAATTTTAATAAATAAATCTGAAAGCTTTCAGATTTTACAAGTTTTTTAACGTTTTGTGTGTTACCTTCATTAAATATCATGTCCTTCGTTCTTAAACCATAAAATTCAGTTCAACAACAACATCGCAAAATAATTTTAAAATGAGCATATCTTTAGAATTTCTGATACACAGTCTCGCAAGCTGGAGATGAAAATGTTTTTTTATTTTCGTACAGTGTTGCCGTTGCTCGCTTTTAAATCGTTGAGTTCGTTAATCAAAAATTCGTTATAGTTTTACAAAAGATGAAATAGATAATAAAACAAATTTCAAATTCCAAATTTAGGCTTCCAGATGCCCATATTCGGTTGGAAATGCACGTTATTCAAAATTTGATGGCTCTAGGTACCGTTGTTTTATCATAATGCGAGAAACATACCTACATTTATGCATATTTCTTAGATTATTTAATTTCTTTAAATATAATACAGAACTCTAATATTTGGTGGCAACAATTTCAAAAAAGTGAACCAACATTTATAGTTTTCAACACAAAATGTCAAAACGAAATTAATAGTCCTTCTGGGCTAACGCCCTTTGGACTAAAAATGGTTTAGTAGGGGAGAGTGTAACGGCAAATTCTAGACCACGAGCTCAGCGGCAATGTAAAAAACCTTACAAACCTTTTTGGACGATCGTTAAAATCAAAAAGACTTCAGATTTATTTTATTGCTTTAATTTCATTTCATCTTCTTGCAAGAGAAGATGTAATCCTTTGGCTCTGTATGAAATATTTGAAAAATACATGGAGACTATTTTCTAACAACCCTGAAGCACGTGACAAATTAAGCGTGTCGTCATAAATATTGGTTTTCTATGTTGATCAGTTTAAGTTTTCAAAACTACAAAACAGATGAAACAAAAGAAGATATTAATTGCGTGATAATTAACGGAAATTATGAATACTTTACCTGTCTCATTCATTCCATTGATGTACATTACAGAAATGTCAGTGATTCTGAAGTATCCGACGTATTCAGCGTTCGAATTTTTACCTTGAGGGAAGAAAAATTATAAAAACATAATAAGTGCAAGCTCTGGTTGGATTTTTTAAAATTAAGGTAAACAATATAGTATTACATTTTATGTTTCACTTTCAATTCAGTAACAACTAAAATTTAAAATGAAGATGTCATTATTTATAACAGAATATTTAGCATTTCAGGGGAGACAAATTAAGAAATAAAAACGTTATTATTATTTTTTTTTAATCTTTGCAAAGCAGTTTCCCTTAGAAAGTCCTCCACGAAGGCATCCCTCACCTTAGGCAGATAGCCCTCGAGGCTTTGCCATAATCACACACATAAAATAACATAACATAATCTTTGCAAAGCTGACACCTCAAGTTGGAATAACACCTATACTATAACTATCCTTAAAATAATCAAAGCGTTTACAAAAAAAAAAAAAAAAAAAAAAAAAAAAAAAAAAAAAAAAAAAAAAAAACCTCCTCACAGCGAAAGAAATTATTAAATAACAAATAGGATAGAATAAGTACAATGTATGCTTTAATATTCCGGCGGTTGATTTTTAAAACTGGCGAAATAATAAAAAAGAAAACTAATGTTGGAAGCAGTCATAATTCAAAATTTATATTTTCGAGTTTTCGCAGTACTGCAGGATACACTGTGTAGGAAAGAAATAATACGCTGTATAGGAGAAAGCCAGCGAAGGTTATTTGATGTTTTAAAATAGTTTATATCTACATAAAATTGCTGTGTTTGCAACTTCTCTACCTGCTTAGCTCAATGCTGAAGGAAATCTTCAGTATAATTACTGCTAAGCTTAGAATACATTTTTTATTTATTTTTTTATTTTTTGCTGTACTATTTAACAGGGCAATTAAAATTTCTTGCAGGAATTGTCTCAGTGCACAAGCAACACTGTTTCAGAGCAACACCAGGTGCTGGACCTAGTGAACGCTATAAGCCAGTAGAAAATTAATGCAATGGCCTGTAGTCTTAATCTATGTTTCTTAGAGAAGCCTTGGGAAAAAATATATTACTTTGCCATTTTTGTGCACGTAATGACAAACTGGCGATATAAGTATTTTTTAATTTTATTTTTGCTGTAAGTAAAATACATCCTTTGTCCTTTTCGACACCATAATAAACCAAAATCACAATAAAAACTTTACCAAATTCTACCTTACTTGAACTTTATGAAGCCTGTTATTATGGTGACCACCTCCAGTTAGAAATACTGGCGACAGCGGTTCTTGTAACAGCCAGTTTCATTATTTGTAATATCGGGCCCGCCAGCGGCCGAGTGGTAAAGTCGCTGAACACTGGTAGTTCGGTCCGTGGTTCGAATCCTACGAACGGGCTGGCTGCATGGGTGTCGTGGTTTTCCCCATGTGTAGCGTGTATACGAGTCAGTTTCCCATAGAAAGTCCTCCACGAAGGCATCCCTCCCCTTACGCAGATAGCTCTCGAGGTTTTGCCGTATTTAAAATAACCTAACCTAACCATTATTTGTAACACTTTCGTGGATTAAAAAAAAAGACTAAAATATTTTTTAAATTTCATTTTTCACCATTCTTTGTAAAAGACTACAGATATCTTCCGCTTAATGAAAAATAAATTAATTGTGGCCACCCCTCTTATTGTATTTGCAACAAAACTCAAGATTATTAGATTGTTAAGCTGAATAAAGCTTCAACTTAGTTTAAAAATTTAGCATTTTGAAATCATAAATCATTTCTTTCAACCACGCTCAAAATTTCTTTACATTAAAAGCAAGCATAAAAACCTAGCTTACATAAAAAGAGACAAATTCTTGTATAATATTAACTATTAGGTTAAACTATGCAAAGCATACTTGCATAGTTTTTACCATGAATCTGCATAAAAATTGATATTACGGGTGCGACAAAGGAAACTAGATGAACATAAGCCATAATTATATGCATTAATGATTGTTATAATCTATGAGAATTTTATCTTGAATATTTATTTTATTGTTGATTATAAAAAAAGATCCGCAAGATATTGAAGTATTTCCTTATATTTAAATTTTATATTTGTGTTTTTCGTTTGAAATTAAAATTGTTAAAAGCAATTACAAAAATTTGTTAGTAGACGTTTTTAAAGTTCTGAGTAAAAGCATAATACTAATTTTAAAATAGACATTTTTAGCATTATGTTTTTAGATATCTTCTGTACCCTTTTCAATTTAATAATAAATATAATGCCAAGGGAAGATTGCCTTTCATTTAAATTATGTAATTTTAAAATACTATAAAATAATAAAATATTAAACACGAAGAAATTCAAAACTGATCTATCGCCTTCGTTGTTCATAGCTAAAGATTTGTTTACAGTCAGCATTTAAAAATCATAGCACTTTCAAACTTAGCAGAGTTAATATAAAATTTTAAACTATAGTTAGGCTTTAGTGTCTAAGTTACATAAATAATAATATTAAAGTTAGTTCTTTCTATGTATATTAGCTTAAATAATCTACAGTGTAGCGAGAAGGTCCTTTTACACTTGGACTAAATGCATATAAACAGAATAATATGGTAAAATATTTAAGATTTGAATCTTCGCTCCTGATCATTGATATCGCAACGAGTCTCCTCACTTGAATTACAGCGTGATTACCACGTGACAGCGCGGGGAGAAAAGTAGTCTGTGCGTTGACAAGTTCGTTATCTCTGTGAATTAGTGAAGAATATTGGTAGACACAGGAATTTCACTTTGGAGCTGCGCTTAGGAAAAGTGTGTGGGTCCACGACCGAAAGAAGAACAATAAAAATATGACCCAGGTGTTGAACACGTTCATGAAGGTTTCGATCAAGATCCATCAAGCCTTCAGACTTTGATCACGCGTTAGAAGAAAGATTTTGATTATTAGGGGTGGGAATGCCTGAACAACTCGTCTTTGGTACGTAGTTGTTTGAGGGTTTCATGACGCAAGTTACTTGCCTGAGGATGCTGAATAACTCGCTTCTTCCCCATTTGCAGAATTTGGGTATCAATGGTACGATTGCTGCACGATGCAGCTTCCGCCCACTTAGCACTTGCTATTCATGTACATCTCGATGAACTGTTCTCTAGCAGGTGGATAGGACATGGGTCCCCAAATTCATTAGCCACTTATCGCTGGCCGCCTCGAAATCCGGGTCTTAAAGACACCAGGGGAGATCATCAAACCATACGCCTTGTGGGGAGATCATCAAACCATACGCCTTGTGGGGAGATCATCAAACCATACGCCTTGTGGGGAGATCATCAAACCATACGCAAGAAGAAGAGGCACGTCGACAAAGATGTCCCGCCGACAAAAGTGTGCTTGAAGCCTTCCAGCAAGTGACACCGCAGATGCAAAAGCGTAAGAGTGGGACGATATTCATACCTATAAAACTATGCAGCAATAACGGTGGCGCATACTCGGACGTTTCGACTAAATAAATATACGTTTTATTGAAGTTACACTGAAATAATTGCACCTTTCTGACCACTTTGTACATAGAAGAAATTATGATTTTTTAATTGTAATTTCCAGAAATTTTTTTAGCAACGCAAAACAATAGTAGACAGGTGACAGGTGACAGCAGGACAGGGCACCCGGACGGCTTTCTATGACTACTCGGGTATTACCCTGGCCCTGCAACCATCTTGAGTCTTCACAGTTGTAAGATGCTTTTATGTTTATTGCAGGTGCCCTATTCCGGCCTGCAGAGGTCTATGCCCATTTTTTCTAGTTTGGCCATTATGCATTTAAGCTTTTGCCGCGTGCCTCGATGTTTTATGAGAAGGCGTTTGAAAGGCAGAACATTGGTAGTTGGGAATTTTATGTGCCATTCTGCTGTTAAGGGGCACTCCGTGACATAATGGTCTGGTGAGCCCACGTTGCCACAAACACACATATCAGTTGTTGCTAGACCCCTTTCTGCAAAGTACGTCGGAAAGGGGCCGTGGCCTGTTATATATCGCGTGAGGTAGGGCGATGAGATGAGCCGGTCCACCTCTACCTTGGGCAGGAACTCATATGCTCTGCGGCCTTGCGGGATTTGGGTCCCATTCATTCTGCCAGTTTCCAATGGCGGACTCCTCTATTTGCCTCTTTAGGCATGACCGGGCAGGGGGGCACCTGAATCTGCTCCGTTTCCTCATTTTGGGCAGCCTTCTTGGCAAGAGCGTCTGATGCTTCATTTCCCTGGATTCCGGCGTGCGCCTTCACCCAGGAAATTTGGATTCTCATTGACTTTTCTTGTAGACGGAGGACTTCTTGCAAGGTGCGAGATTAGTGCGGAGCGCTGGAGAGGGGTTGTTGATAGCATAAATGCTTGACAGGCTGTCAGTAAATATCGTAGCTCGACTCTGCCGTGTGTCAATTGCCCATTTCACTGCCTTTGTGAGGGCAACTACTTCCGCTTGGAACACTGAGTTCTGTGCTCCCAGACGGCCCTTCCATTCCTTTGCTATGTTTCCATTTATATAGGCTATATAGGCACTGCCTACAGCGTTATCAATTTTTGACCCGTCTGTATAAAGCACGGCCCCTGGTCCGTCTAAGCGCGGACGGACCAGGGTCTAGCGGCCCCTGGTCCGTCTAAGCTATTGTCTACTAACAATAGTAGACAATAGAATTATTCTTTAATACTCATTTCTATAAAACAAGAAGCAATAAAAACCTTACTAAACTTGCCCGTGTGTTTTGATTTAATTCCGCGTAGTATGTGTGGTAACTAGTCAGACGTTTTCACATGAAAGTTGCTAAAATTATAAAACGCATTTATTTTCATCTTTCTTTCAATGTTAAAATTTTCCAATTCCATTTTGTTTTACACTGAAAGGTATTAATGTAGATTTTACATAAGAGTGTAAGTTCGAAAATCGGTTGATAGCTTATTATCCATTTAATTATTTGAATTTAGGTATAGCTCTCGCAAAAAGTAGCTGGAGAAAATACATTTTACGGTGCTTCAAGATACTTTAAAATTTATTTAATGCTTTAAACAAGAAATGCAGACGGATAAGTTTCACAC